GACATGATTGAGGTTTATAAGATTATGCATGGGAAAGAGCAGGTAGAGAAAGAGGTCCTTTCTCACAATACAAGAACTCGTGGGCACTCCATGAAATTGCTGAGCGGTCGGATTAGAACAGATAAAAGGAAGTACTTCTTCACCCAAAAAGTGACTAACAAATGGAATTCACTGCCACAGGAGGTGGCGGCGGTTACAAGCATGGAATTAGATAAGCATATGGAGCAGAGGTCCATCGGTGGCTATTAGCCACAAGGTATAGATAGGGATTCCGGGGCAAGTGATGCTCTGTATTTTTGGTGCTTGGGGGGGGGGTTAATAGTGTGAGGGCTCCTAGTGTCCTTGCCCCACTGCTGGACCTCCTGATGGCACCTGGTATTTTTGGCCACTGTGTGACAGAGTGTTGGACTGGATGGGCCGTTGGCCTGATCCAACATTGGCTTCTCTTATGTTCTTGTTCTTATGATTGCTTCTCCCTTATAGCCTATGGATTCTCTATTATACCCTACCAAATACCGGTATGGTATTTGGATTGAGGAAATATTTAGGATTGCTGAATTTTTTTCAGCTCCATTATACCCTATGGGGACCATTGACTATAATGGCCTCTATAGGGTATAGTGGAGCTGAAAACATCAGCAATCCTGAATATTTCCCAAATCCAAAGACCATACCAGTATTGGAATTTGGGAATATTGGAAAATACCAATATTTTTCGGGTTCAATATAGCCGGGTTTTTTTGCACACCCCTAGATGCAAGACATTATATTTTCTACCTGCTACATGTTTACTCCAGTGGTCTTGATAAGTCATACAAGTCAGTAACAAAGCATACTCAAGTGACTAAAAACTTAGACAACTTCAAATCCTCCTCTCCGACCACCTCTTGGTGGCACAGTGAGTAGAGCCAGTGCATGGTTTGCAAGGCTCCCATTCAAGCCTGGAAAGTCTTTATCTCCTGCTAGTTCTCTGATACTACTAATCCTTCTAGGTAACTGTTAGAATTTCCAACTGCTTTGTAAAGCCAGATAGACAGGACCCATCTGTTATACTGAGTAGCAAGCAGGCGTTTTGTTGTTGGTGATGAGACAAACAGCACACATTAAACGGGAGCATGTCCCTAACTTCTTATGGATTTGACCAACCTCAGAGACCAGGGATGAAGCCCAAAGTTGCTTCAAGGAATGATTTTTGAGCAGCTGCCCTCCTCTGGGAACAGCTGAAATAGCCACCGGATTTATTCGGCTTGCCAAGGTCATAGCCAATGAGCGTGAGCCAAGGCGATTAATCCTAGAGTGAGACAGACATCTGCAGCAAGAGCACATAGTGGGCTCATTTTTGTTGGTGTTTTGAAATTTGTGGCCTCCTACTGGGTCTCAGCAGCAAAGGTCAGCTGGAGTCCTGCGCTTCCTTTAGAAACGTGTTTGACTGTAGGAACAGGAAGATTTCCTTGTCTATATATAAAACTCAGGGAGTTAAGACATTTCAGACACGGAAAATAAATTTAGCATCAGGCTATATTTTAGAGAAAGTGAAGCCGGTAAAATACTTGGGCTTCATCTGTATTGTTCAAACCTGGCAACCTGGGCCATTGTGTCTGCCAAACTGTCTGTGCCGATTAGATTAGCCCTCTTAATGAAAGCTGGAAAAGGGTCTTCTGCGTTCAGAGGCAGCGTATATCTCTGATTAATAGGTCTTTGACAAGGTTGCCAAGTCTGGGATGGGAAATTCCTGGAGATTTGGGGGTGGATCCTAAGGAGGACAGGGGCTAGGGAGTGGAAGGAGCTCGGCAGGGATGTGATCCTGCACAGTCCACCCTCCAAAGCAGCCGTTTTCTGTAGTCTGGAGATCAGCCGTAATTCCAGGAGATCTCCAGGTACCACCTAGAGGTTGGTAACCCTAACATGGATGAAAATTACAACAGTTGATTGTCTCCATTCTGCGTTGCTTGTGAAAGTTTCAGAATATTATTGAGAGAAACAGACTGCTGGACTGGAGAGACTCTTGCTGTTATCCCACCAGGGCCCAAGGAGCCAGTTTGGTGTAGTGGTTAAGTGTGCGGACTCTAATCTGGGAGAACCGGGTTTGATTCCCCACTCCTCCACTTGCACCTGCTGGATGACCTTGGGTAAGCCATAGTTCTGTCAGAGCTCTCTCAGCCCCACCTACCTCACAGGGTGTCTGTTGTGGGGAGGGGAAGGGAAAGGAGTTTGTAAGCCACTCTGAGACTTCAGGAGAGACTCTTCTTCTTCTTCCCGACTAAGTTGGCAATTTCCACCAATTCCCCCTTCCCTCTGCAGACCCCCCCCCCCATGTGATTGCTTTTCTTTTCCTACCCCCTAGGAGCAGCACTTTAGGACATTAGTGGGTTACAGTAGGAAGGGGGGCAGGACAGTTCCATTCTGCTGATGGACAATTTAGTTTGGATCCAACCTTCATTTCCTTGAGTCTAGTACAAACTTGTAATGCTGCCCCACTCCTGATTCCATCCCATTATTTCATGAAAAAAATCTCTATTATTCTCTGAAAATCCATGTGACCATATAAATTATTGTGACCGGCCAATCCCCCTTAACCACTGGCCCTCCACAAACAAGTGTCTGGGCTCCTTTGCCCATCTTATTCTCTTGTGCATGGGGTTTTTCAGCACAGGCTGGTCCCTTGCTGAACTTTTTCACTGATGATGGTCACTGCAGGCTGCAAAGCTCTTTGTTTGGGACCCTTGCTGTGTTCCTAACTGCCCAGTTAAGGAGCAGAGAAAGCTGCAAAACTAACCAAAAGTTAACCAGCAACATTTTTTTCCGTATGAGCTTTGATGAGTCACAACTCATGAGAGCTCTTTTGGAAATAAATGCATTTGCATGTATTTATTTATATCCCACTTTTCTCCTGTCGGGACTAAATGTTGTTATTCTTTAAGGTGCCATTGGACTCTTGGTCTATTTTGATACAGCCGACCAGCACACCTACTCCTTTGCAATCAGTAAGCTGCAGCCATCAGGCATTCCCTTAAAATCTGTCAAATGAATGAATTCTCCCATTGTCTTCCTGATGTAAAATTAGCATTGCGATTCTGGAAGTACTGCCTGCAGCAAAAGAAATAATTGCAGTAGGAATCAGTGTTTTCCTCTTGATAGAGTATTTTGTTTGGCTATCAAGGATCCCTGCTTTAAGTAGGTGGTCTTAAGCTCGATTTCGCTTTCAGCCTAACATGCCTCAAGCTAAAATAATGTATGATTTCTGAACTATTTTTACACCCAGACGTGTGATGAGAATGCTGATGTAGTGATTAGAAGTATGCGAGTGTAGAGGAGCATAAGAAGTATCAGTTGAACTTCGGCATAAGACAGCAGCCAGACTTTTCAAGCTGTACTGAGTTATCCGTAACATAGATAAACATATGCAGCAGTGGTCCATCAGTGGCTATTAGCCACAAGGTATAGATATGAACTCTCAGTCTGGGGCAAGTGATGCACTGTATTCTTGGTGCTTGGGGGGGGGGCAACAGTGGGAGGGCTTCTAGTGTCCTGGCCCCACTGGTGGACCTCCTGATGGCACCTGCTATTTTTGGCCACTGTGTGACACAGAGTGTTGGCCTGGATGGGCCATTGACCTGATCCAACATTGGCTTCTCTTATGTTCTTATCCATATTTGTGCTTTCTTTTGCAGTTGGAATTGTCCAGCACAGCGATCCTTCACCAGATCCGGAGGGATCAAGTCACAGACACATGCCGAACCAACAGCCTGTCCAGCAGGAAGCGCCGTGTGCTGACGCCCAATGACCTTAAACATCTGGTGGTAGATGAAGACCATGAGTTGATATATTGCTACGTACCCAAAGTGGCCTGCACCAACTGGAAGAGAGTCATGATGGTCTTGACAGGGAAGGGCAAATATAGCGATCCCATGGAGATCCCAGCCAATGAAGCTCACGTCTCGTCCAACCTGAAGACACTCAACCAATACAGCATCCCAGAAATCAATCACCGCTTGAAAAACTACATGAAGTTCCTGTTTGTCCGCGAGCCTTTTGAAAGACTGGTGTCGGCCTACAGAAACAAATTCACCCAGAAGTACAACACCTCCTTTCACAAGAGGTATGGTACCAAAATTGTGAAACGCCAAAGGAAAAATGCTACCCAAGAGGCTCTGCACAAAGGTGATGATGTGAAATTTGAGGAGTTTGTGGCTTATCTCATAGACCCTCACACCCAAAAAGAAGAGCCCTTCAATGAACACTGGCAAACTGTCTACTCCCTCTGCCATCCATGCCACATCCATTATGACCTCATAGGGAAATACGAGACACTCGAAGAGGATTCCAACTATGTCCTTCAGCTTGCAGGAGTAGGCAACTATCTCAAGTTCCCCACCTATGCAAAGTCTACAAGAACTACTGATGAAATGACCACAGAGTTCTTCCAGAACATCAGCTCGGAACACCAAACACAGCTGTATGAAGTCTACAAACTTGATTTTTTAATGTTCAATTACTCAGTGCCAAGCTACCTGAAGTTGGAATGAGTCAGAAAGAGAGAGAAAAAGAAAAGAAAAACACCTGTTTTATTTAAGATTTTTATTTGTCATAATTACATATGAAGAATGGGTTATTTTGTAAGTTAATATTTTTGTTGAAAGATGCTGCGAGCAGCATGGTCAAAATTTATTATTTAAATTGTCAAAAAGAAAAGGACAGTTTCATTTGTGGAGTAAGGAAATCGCAGAGCCTGTAGCCCTAGCTGTGACTAGTTCCTGCTAGACTGTTTGGGGGAGGGATGTGTTCTTTGTGTCCTGATGAATTCTTTTTTTTTCCTTTTGGCATTCTTCATAAGTCCAAGCCTTTGTGTTATTTATGCTTATTTAAGTACACGGTTGATTCCACATTAGGCGCTGAAATACAACATGGTGTGGACAAAGAAAATGTGCGCTTCTTGCTGGAGCTCTTGCCTCTGTTCTTAATATCCATTCATGACTGAATATTTCACCAGTGATGAATTCATAAGAATAATTAGAAACATTAGGGCCGGGCTGAATTCAAGGGGCCCAGGAGGGTTGGGTCCCCAAGTTGGAACATCTTTTGAAGCCTCAGGATTCTCAGATTTGTGAGATAAGACACACTTGTCTGCCAACCGTCATATACTATGGAAGGCTCAACATTTATCCACTGGGAGGGAAGGTCACCTATGGTCAAACCAGATGAGATAGTGAAGATTGAGTATGTTTTCTCTTGGAAAATCACAGCCATGACAGACCCCAGTTCAGATTAGAACTGCATCAGGGGGAAGGGTGTTAAGTCTTCTCCTTCCTGCACCTTTGTTCTGACTTCACGTACCTCCCACACACATTGAGGGGAACATATGAGTTAACTCTGTGGTATCCTTTATGTTTCCCCCAGTGAAGTCAATAGCAACTCTGAGGTGCTTTCTGAGATCAGGGAGATCAGGGAAGTAACATCTTGTCCAGTTTGATCTTTAGCCCTTTCCTCTAACGACTGTATTAAAGTGTCCTACACATGTACACCCAGAATTCCAAGCAGATTCCAATCTCTCCCATAAAGGGGCTAAGACAGAGACTTCAAAGTATGACAGCAATCTGTAACCTCCATTGGAGGAACCCACAACTAAATACGCAATGCACCCATAGTAGCTTGAAGGACTGACTTCGGCTGTTGATACAACAGCAAAATAGCCTTCTGCTAACCACAAAGTTCTCAGACTTGGTATTCTTTCTGTGGGTGGTCTTGACACATTTTCTCCATCAAGAGATTTTTCTTGTTTCTTGGATCTATCTCTGGCCCCATTTCCTCTCTGATGTATCTGGACAACAGTATCACATTGCACAGGTCTTGTGATCTGTTGCTACATAGAAAGTGCTGCCTTAAGTGTGTATTGACAGTCACTTGATAATAGCCAACAATTTAAAGCCTAATGGGGAGATATTGGACCTCCACACTCTCATACCACACCCCACTCCTGCGGTTTGCCCCAGAACAAAGTAGATGGGCATTCTGCAGCTAGTAATATGACTTTTTACTCATTATCTAACGGGAAGCTGCCACTGCGTTCTGAGGAGCAGTGAATTTTAAACAAGCCCATTGTAAAGAGTATGATATTAAATGACCCCTAGTTTAGATGGGTCCATGTACTCTAGAATGCCTACTCAAACGAAACACCTTGTAGTACCATATATGTTACAAATACTGGCAGCAATCACTTTGAATGAGAAGGATATTGAACTTTGTGTGAAAATAGGGAACTAGTTTCCTTTTCAGTGTTGAAAGAGTGGGATAGCTAATTTTTAAAATGCATACATAATATTTAAAGTCTATGACTGAAAGAAATGTGAATGTATCTTTTAGAGAGGACCATTTTCAAATCTCTGCTTTGCTGGATGTATTGGTAATAGCATTGTTATCTCAATTCCCTTCTTTAGCATTCCTTTGTTTGACATTCAAGGGGAATGAGTGGTGGAGGTGATGTACATGTTGGCATTATGAATAGTGGTGGTAGTATAGTGTGGGACTCCCTTCCACTAAATGAGGAGTCAGCTGAAGAATGCTCTTTCTATTCACTTAGTGGAAGACTCCTCACTTAGCAGAAGAGAGTCCTTGTATCCCACTCATTATTTATGGCAGCAGTGTTTGTTTATTTAGGAATTAATTTATCATAGCAGACTCTTGATCAGACTCTTGAGTAGCAGGTTTTTAAAACTTTATTCGTTTTATTATTTACTTAAATTACACACCACATTTCTTGCCCATGGGGATCAAGTTCAGAGAGCAGGTGACGTGGAAGACCTTTTTCTGAGAGCTGGCGAACCATTGCCTATCAGAGCAGACAATTCTCACTTTGATAGGCCAATGGTCCAACAGTATAAGGGAGTCATGTGTGTTCATCTTGGGGAGTTCATGTAGCATGGATAGATTTTTGCCATCTTTGAAGATGCCGGGTACTAGGTTTCTACATGGCAAGGACAGTCAAATGGTGGACCCGACTGATCTTCACTACAGTTCTTTAACATCCCGCTACACTGCCGCTCCAGTTGGAAGCTTCTGAAGTGTCTTGTTCAATCAGCACTACCACTCAAGCAAGACCTCACACCTGGATGATGCTCATCCCCAAGCCAAAGCAGAGAATATCCCAGAAATCTCTGCATTATCACAGAGGCCTCTAGGGTGTCCTGTCATTTTCTGGGTCAGCAAGTGGTGCATCACCTTGGTAATAACTGGCCCAAAGGGAGAGTCCAGCCCTGAATTAGTTTAAACAAGGAGGAACTGGCTGCCTAAGCTGGAAAAATTGGCTATGTGGGACAACGTGGCCCTAGAATATGTGTATATTTCAGACCATTCCTGTTAGGGCTGGCTCAACCCCCCCACAATACAATTTCAGGTGTTTTGTGGTGTTTCACACCCATTAAACTTTACAACAGCACTGTAAAGGCCAGTATTCCAGAATTCCACACAATTGCTTAAGGCAGTATTCTTAAAGAAGGTCTACTAAAAGGCCTGATAACTATCCAAAGATGCAAAGTTTCCAAGAAGGGTAACAGACATTACATGGAACTGGAGAGAGTTTCCCTGTAATCCTTGAGATACTGTGGGCAATCTTGGCTTGGGTCTCATGTGCTTCAGCTACTTATGACACAGGAATCGGGTATCCAATGTGACCTGGAAAAGCACCCTTATGCACATTTGGAGCAACAAAAGCTTTTGAGCCAATCCTGAAATTTGTTCACTTAAAGAGAACATTGTAGCTTCACTAGATTATGTATTATATAGCCAGATTTCGAGGGACAATCACTGGAATTACTGGATCAAGATGATGGCTTTTGTACTGCATGAACAAAAATCAGTAATACAGAGGTAACGGCATCATTTGAGAATGCAGCCTGAAAGCAGAGCCTATTTTACTTCCAGGTATTGATTTCAACATTGTCTGGAAAAAAGTCTCTCTTCCACACTTCTGACCACCAGTCTCTTTTCTCAGCCATGAAGACAGTCCCTTATGCTGATCTTGGAAGTATTTCCATACTGTATTGTTCCATTTCTCCAGGTGAATTTTGCCATCTGTCTACTAGCCAGCCTGTTAAAATGTTTAACTGTGGGTGTTTGTTTGGTTTGTTTGTTTTAATCACATTAACATTGTGCTTACGTATAATATGAGAACATGACCCTTCCAGGGAAGGCAAGTACGCTGGTTGCACTTGGCCTGTATGCATTGTTTGTTTAAGACAAGAACATTTTGATTGAATGCATAGATGATTGCCTAGAAATTGTTTTAAGACACAAATACATTCTTCATTACCAATAAATGCCTTCTGACATGGCACTCTTTGCAAGCTTGATGAACAGTGCTGCAGACTTCCACTTTGTTTCTGTTTTATTTTGATTTACCAGTGGGATGCACAACTGAGAAGGCAACCAGAACTATTTATGATCTAGTACCACAATTTTTATCCACAAAGGTATCCTGAGAGATGGGGGGGCAGTGAAGGGGAGTGCAGCATGGGAAGAATAAATTGAATTCTTTTCTTTACAGTTCTCATCTGTCTTATTTACTGTGAGCAGAAAGCAGAATAGAATTCCATTTCAGAGCTAGAGAGTGTTGATGGAGTGGAAAGCTCTGGATTGTCATTGGGGCAGGTGGGAGAAAGGTAGAAACAAACGGCTGGCTTTTGCTCTTTACAAAAGCTCTATTATTTTGGGACCCTGGAGGATTTTTTTTTTTAATCGCTTGTCTATAACTGCATCTTGCTTGAATCAAATCACCCAAGTTCTAAAGGGCAGTGTAACTAACTTGCATTTCAACCCTGTAGGTTACTGAATCTTGACCCCCTTCATAGGTATGTACACAGAGAGGAAGGAGAAGGGGGGGGGTCTACTTCTCTACAGAGACAGTCCACTCTGCTGGGGAATATATATGATTGAAACAATCATATACAAGCTCCATTAAATTGTTCTGTAGACAAGTACTTGATGTGCAAAACCTGGAACTGGCTGAGGTGTGAGAAGTCCAGTGATGGTTGTAAAAAGCAGGGAGGGGGGTGGCCCTTAAAACACAGTAAACCTGTCATTCCACATCATCCGACAGAGAGTGGAGACTGAACTTCCTGTTATTCTTTGTCTCCCAGCTGTGCTTTTAAAGATCTGTCCAATTAAGGGAAATCTAGTTTATCCACAATCTGCAAATGTGTCACTTGTTCAGAGGACTACAAGAGGTAGTCCCTGTCTGCTGAATTTAACAATTACTAATTGAAGCCAATTGCCTAGCCTTGTTTAGTTTTGTTTTCTGATCAGCAGCAAGTGCCTCTCACAGATTGTGCCCTTTTCCCTTTCCCCCCTTAACTCAACTAGTAGTTGCCTTTTTTCAAAAACCAACAATTATGGCTTTGTTTAAGACGCTGAGTTGCAGACTGGAAGGTCTGTAGTTTGGCAGTTCGAGACCCTAGTGCCGCGTGATGGAGTGAGCTCCCGTCTCTGGCCCCAGCTCCTGCCAACCTAGCAGTTTGAAAGCAAGAAAGCAAGA